AAAAAAAAAAAAAAAGGACCAAAGCAGTAATAATCTGATGATGGTGGTTATATTAAAGAAATTGACTCATTTAGAATGATGGTTCTTACGAAACACTTCAATTTTACTCATGGTACAAAAGTATTTAATAAGCAACACATCAGTGCAGAAAAACACATAGCTTACATAGCGCATCCTTTAAAACCAGAATACAGACTCTTATTTTTACTTAAAAAAAAAAAAAATCAAGGTACTCACTGGAATTGAATTACAATGTTTTTTTCCTCTTTCTAGAGATGTGACACACGTTTTCTGATAAGTAATATTCTAGCAAGCATTGTGTTAAACCAGAGCAAACAGAGGACCAGCAAAGCTATTTAACCACCCCCTACACATGCTGAACTGGACCAGTAGAACACCAGCTTGGCAGGAGAGATTTGGACAGAAAGAAATTTGAGTCTCTACCCAGCTAACAGAAAACCTAACAAACTGGTTTATACAGAAGGATTTTCAGCTAACATGCACAAACACATTTAACATGCTATAAAACAAGATACCTTTTAGTCAATTTCTAGCACACAGCATACATTCATCAGTGCCCAGTGAAATGAGAAAGAATGCCAACATAGAAAGCACTTTTGCCTACATAGCACAAGCAACAAAGCACACAGCATATAATACTTTGATCTTTTAAGTGGGTAATCATGGAAGTTCCAAGATCATGTCCACTAGGTTAGCCTGAGTATTTCATCTATAAAAATATTTTTTCAAAAATAATGCTTAAAAGAGACTTCTAGAAACAGTGGGACTACATCAGGACCAGCAGAAGACAGTGATGCAAGGACTGTAAATATTAAGACTAGGGAGTTGATTTTCACAGGTAGCTTTTAGGTAAAGGACATCTCTTAGCTAATTCTTACAGCCAGGATAAGCTATGATCAAAGGAGATTCAGAAATCTCAAATGGGCAACTAGCTTGAGTAACACCCTAAATACTCAAAAACTCCATTGATTCTGAAACTCTGACCCATGTGAAAAAGAACTGTGAGTGCACAAAAAAATTCATGCAAAGCCTGCTGGGATAAATAGGGTTCGGGGCGGGGGTGGGGGGGGGTTATTCCATACTGTTGACACAAAAACATGTATGTTGGGTAAGGGGCCCCCAAGTGGAGACTGGCTCAGAAGCACCTGAGTGAAGGATCTTACTGAGGGAAGGGAAGAAGAGAGGGAGTACTAAGTTTAATGAATAGGAGTTGTTACAGGAGAACTAGGTCCTGGAGGGTTAGGTCATTTTGTTTTTGACCCATCAATACTTAACATGAATGTAGGATGGAGTCAGTCTTTTCCCAGATGCATTCTGTTATCATTAGTTGAGCCTATTGGCCTCTTGGGCTGGTGACATCCAGAATGATTCCATTCATTGGCGGGACGTAGGACCTAATGCCGCAGATTGTTCTGGGAAGTTGGCACAGAAGATGATTTGCACAATGAAGTCACCACTAAACCACTGCTTAAGTCCAGTCCCCGGCCTTCTTTTTCCTACATAAGAAAATAAACAACCTGAAGAGGCAAGGAAGGGAAAGAGTCCTGCCTCTGGCATGGGGAAGGAAGAGCTCAGGGTAGGGGGTGGACCACCAGGGAAGAGCAGGAAGGGAAAAGAGGCTTTTTTTTTTTTAAGTGACAGAGTCTTACTCTGTCACCCTTGGTAGAGTGCTGTGGCATCACAGCTCATAGTAACCTCCAGCTCTTGGGCTTAGGCAATTCTCTTGCCTCAGCCTCCCAAGTAGTTGGGACTACAGGTGCCCGCCACAATGCCCAGCTATTTTTTGTTGCAGTTTGACCAGGGCCAGGTTTGAACCCGCCACCCTCAGTATATGGGACTGGTGCCCTACTCACTGAGCCACAGGCACCACCACCTGCTCAACACTGGCCCTGGTCATTCTTAAAATGCAATCTTAAAAATGTACCTCTTGGGCAGCACCTGTGGCTCACTGAGTAGGGCGCTGGCCCCATATACCAAGGATGGTGAGTTCAAACCTGCCCTGGCCAAACTGCAACAAAAAAATAGCCAGGCATTGTGGCGGGCGCCTGTAGTCCCAGCTACTTGGAAGGTGGAGGCAAGAGGATTGCCTAAGCCCAAGAGCTAGAGGTTGCTGTGAGCTGTGATGCTATAGCACTCTACTGAGTGTAACAAAGTAAGACACAGTCTCTTAAAAAAAAAAAAAAAGTCCCTCTCTTCACTGGAAAACTTTTTTTTTTGAGGTGGGGTCTCGCTATGCTGCCTAGGCTGGAATGCAGCGACTATTTACAGGTGTGATCATAGCACAGTACAGCCTCAAACTGGGCTGATGGGATCCTCTTGGTCGGCCTCCTGAGAGTAGCCGGGACTACATGTACACACCACCATGCCTAGCACCATTTATTTTTCTTATAAAGAGCCTGCATTATAGGAAAGGCAAGGCAGAATGAGACCTGCTTTTTTATTTTTGTCCTGATTATTTAGAAAGCCTAAGATTGAACCTAGGGCCTGTTTTGCCAAAATGTGAAAAGGTCTTGCCCAAGGTAGAACAACAGCTCACTCTGCTGATGCCTCACCAGCTAGACTGATATGGACAATTTTAAGGGAGAGAGAAGTGGGAAGCAGGGAAAGTGGTTTTTATTCTACTTGGAACTTTCTAGGTGGTTTAATGTAGCTAAACAAATAGGCAGTAGTAACTTACTGCTCTATAGTCCAGGAACATTTCTTTAAAAGCCAGAAAATCCGTAAATGTGAGCAGCATGTCAAATATGTCACCGGCCACTTCATCTTTATGGTGCCTGCAAAAGGAAAGAATGGCTGTTTCACGAATGAATGATGAAATAGTCTATTTAAGTTTTCATTTAAATGTTTTTAGAGCTTCCCACCCAGGACCTAACCACCAAGCACTTGCAATGAACAAAAACATAAAAAAAGGAGGCCTTTTGTTCACACTAGGGAAGATGGTGAGAAACTTCTTCTCTGAGACGGAGTCTCACTCACACCCGGGCAGAGTGCAATGGTGTAACCATACTTCACAGCAACCCCAAACTCGTTGGCTCAAGCAATACTCTTGCCTCAGTCTCTGAGTAGCTGGAACAACAGGCACCAGTCACAGTATCAGCTAGTTTTTTCTTTTTTTGAGACAGAGTCTCATTATACTACCCTTGGTAGAGTGCCATCGTGTCACAGCTCACAGCAACCTTAAACTCTTGGGCTTAAGCGATTCTCTTATCTTAGCCTCCAAAGTAGCTAGAACTATAAGCGCCCGCCAAACTGCCCAGCTATTTTTTTTATTGCAATTGTCACTGTTGTTTAGCTGGCCTGGGCTGGATTTGAACCTACTAGCCTGGGTGTATGTGGCCAGCTCCCTACCTGCTGAGGTACGGGCACCACCCTATCTTTTCTATAGAGATGAGGTCTCTTGCTCAGAGTAGTCTTGAACTCCTGAGCTAAGGCAAGCCTCCTGCCTTGGCCTCCCAGGGTGCTAGGATTACAGGTGGGAGCTACCTTGCCTAGTTAAGACAATGTTAAAAAATATATATATACATAGTCTAGCTCTACTCACTGTAAGGTTGTTGTGAAAGCTGCCATGTTAAATCCAGGGATCCGTTCTAGCAGCTGTTCTTCAATGTACTTTTCTACCAGAGAAATCTGTAACAGTGGAAAGAATCTTGGTGAGACCACACTTGGGAAAATAAGACTTCAGAGAACCTGTCCTCAAGCCCTGCATAAACACTTCCTGAGGTCCTAGTTTATGTCCCAGACTCTATGCTGAGTGGTAGACACCAAAGAGGACCAAAACACAGCTCTTGTCCTGGATAAGTGCCCATGTCCACTTCCCAGTGCAGCGTGATATGGGGTGGGGGTGGGGGTTGCTTCCTGGGCAGATGGCATCTCTGCAAACAACATATAAAAAAGCATACACTCAGAGGCAGCCACATCTTCCTTCTGGGCGGGTTTCATCATTTATGCTGTGCTCTTGTGTTAAGAAAATAAAGTCTAGGAGGCTCAAACCTATTATTAGATGATGAGATAATCCCAGGAGCTGCAAGAGACCTCAGGGTATAGCATAGAGACCCAATGGTGATGAGCCAAAGTTCCTGGGTTCCAGTTGTGGTTTTTCCACTAACTTGTGATCTTGGTCACAATTTTCACTTTTACTTAATAGTCAAGGTGTACCTGACTGGATTATATAGAAACAAATAGTGTGTAAAAGTAAAAAGATTTTTCAAAAGGATACAAATGCAAGGTATGGTGAATTCATGTATTGCAACTGAAAGCAGGATTACAGTAAAGCCAGACTTCTTTTATTGTATCATTTTTTTAGAGATAGGGAGGGGACAGTGTCTATGTGGCCCAGGCTGGTCTTGAACTCCTAAGCTTAAGCAATTCTCTGGCCTCAGCATCCTGAGTAGTAGGGACTACAGGCCTGTGCCACAGGTGCCCATTTCAAACTCCTTTTAAATAAGAAGTTGATAAGCTCATCTCATATTTGTCTGAAAGCTTTTTGGAAAATAGCCCCAAGAGCTATGGGGAGCAAAAGGAACTAAACCAGATTCTAATCAGAATTCCTGGCATAATTTAAAAGATAGTAAATTTCAGTGTATTTTGATTCTAAAACTTAAACCCTAACCTCCTAGCAGAAAAAACAGAAATCTACTTACATATTCATTAAAAATAGGTGTATAGGTGAGTTTATTCTCTTCCGTGTCTTCAAATTCCTGGTAATACTTGTCCATGAAATTTCTCTGTAACAACTGGAACTCGTCATCTGGACCACAATAGGGAAAAGTTGTTCTTTTTAATGGAGACTACAAACCATTATAAGTAGGCAAGATCTATGTTATAGTACTGTTTTCTCAGTGGCTAATCTCTAGGAGAGGGAAAACTGCTCTATTTAGGGAGTACTAAATGTTCAACACTAATGTTGAAATTGATCAATCCAGTCTCTTTTTAAAATCAAAGTACAGGCTCGGTGCCTATAGCTCAGTTATTAGGGCGCCAGCCACATATACTGAAGCTGGTGGGTTTGAACCCGGCCTGTGCCTGCTAAACAACTGTGACAATTGCAACAAAAATATAGCCGGGAGTTGTGGCAGGCGCCTGTAGTCCCAGCTAGTTGGGAGCCTGAAGCAAGACAATCGTTTAAGCCCAAGATTTTTTTTTTTTTTTTTTGAGACAGAGCCTCAAGCTGTCCCCCTGGGTAGAGTGCCGTGGCATCACAGCTCACAGCAACCTCCAACTCCTGGACTCAAGCGAGTCTCCTGCCTCCGCCTCCCAAGCAGCTAGGACCATGGGCGCCCGCCACAACGCCCGGCTATTTTTTGGTTGCAGCCATCATTGTTGTTTGGCGGGTCCGGGCTGGGGATTCAAACCCGCCACCTTAGGTGTACGTGGCTGGCGCCTCAGCCGGTTGAGCTATAGGTGCCGAGCCTAAGCCCAAGATTTGAAGGTTGCTGTCAGCTGTGATATCACAGCACTCTACCGAGGGCGACACAATGAGACACTGTCTCAAAAAAAAGGCTCTGTGCCTGTGGCTCAAGTGGCTAAGGCACCAGCCACATACACCTGAGGTGGCAGGTTCAAATCCAGCCCCAGCCCGCCAAACAACAATGACGGCTGCAACCAAAAAATAGCCAGGTGTGTGGTAGGCACCTGTAGTCCCAGCTACTTGGGAGATGGAGGCAGGAGACTTGCTTGAGCTGAGGCGTTGGAGGTTGCTGTAAGCTGTGATGCCACAGCACTCTACCCAGGGCAACAGCTTGAGGTTCTGTCCCCGCAAAAAAGAAAAAGTAGAATATACAAAAAATTTACCATTTTAACTATTTTAAAGTGTATGGTTCAGTGGCTTTAGGTATGTACACGGTGTTGCGTGATCATGACCACCATCCACCCATGTTAAACACATTCATACATGGTGACTTGGGAACTCCCTCGTGTTACTTTCCTGTAAAGGAACAAACTGGTTCTCTCTTATTTTAATATAATTTCAGCAGCAATTTGTGTAAGCAGTGCAGTCATTAGAAGTATGGGGTCTGCCAGAGGCTAGACTGTCTGGGTTCAGATTTCACTCTCAGACACTAGCTGTGTGACCTTGGATAAGTTACTTAAGTTCTCTAACCCTCTATTTCTTCATTTGGAAAATGAAAATGATTTATAGTACCTATCATACAGGACTGCTAGATGGAATTTCAATGAGAATTCCTGTAGAAAACTACTTCATAGTGAACACTTAATAAGTGTTAGGGTAGTGAATAAGATATTATGTCTAAAAATAGAAGGAAAGTTTCATAAGTACCCAGACTTTAGGATAAATACTCTGGCCTTACAGAAGGCTCATTCTCTCACAGTCTAAAGGCAGAAGAACTGAAGAAATTCTTCAGTATTCAGTATTATAAATCCTCAAATCCACATGTCACAAGAGCTTAATGGCAAAATATCTATATTCAGGAGTTTAAGGGCATGAACTTTTATAAGATCTAAAGGTACCAAAACTTGGTGAATAATTTTCAGACTAAACTAGTGGGTTCTCAACCTTCCTAATGCCATGAACCTTTAATACAGTTTCTCATGTTGTGGTGACCTCCCAACCATAAAATTATTTTTGTTGCTACTTCATAACTGTAATATTGCTACTGTTATGAATCATAATGTAAATATCTGATATTAGGTGACCCCTGTCAAAAGGGTCACATGCGACCCACAGGTTGAGAATCGCTGGACTAAACTGAATTAAGCTATACAGCCAATAACATAAGTAACAGTATTCTTTCCATAATTCTCATAAAACTTGAAATCATTCAAGTTTTTCTTAAATTTAAGTTTTTCCTTCCTACATATTCATCTTAAACTTTAGCAGCCTGTTACTGTTGTCTGTTATTTAGCAAGACTTGTGGATGCCAGAATGAATCCACAAATAGGAACTGAAGCCAGGGAAAATATAAAGCCAACTGAGGTTAATACCTTGTTTTCCTCATGGACAAATGTCCTCATGGTTATGGTTTTATGCTTTTTTACGGGATGAAAATGTAAAAACTATCTAAAAACCAAAATTGCCCTTACCCTACTTATGAAATAAAGTAGATCTATTTCTGGCAGCTTTGCCAAGAGCTCTTATGCCCCATTACCTGGATAAGTCCATTCCAGGCACCTTATCATTATTGTTTTAAGGAGTATAGGGCTGTTCTAAGACAGATTGAAGTGAGGCTTACTTAATCTTACATTGTACTGTAGTAAATTGAATGCAGCTTGATATTTTCTGTTTTAAAAATTAACTCAATTTCCTTAAAAGCTTACCCATAATGATGTCTTCTAAATATCCAACCACAGCATCAAATTCGGCATCAGAGGCAGAGGAACTGAAAAATACGCATTAGGTGCTGTTTCAAATAATTTGTTTAAAAAATTTTTTTATGATAGACATTTTCAAACATGCACAAGAGAAAAAGAGCAAAATGAACTTCTCATCAGCTAGCTTCAACAATTAAGAATGATTATTATCGGCTTGGCACCTGTAGCACAAGTGGTTACAGCTCTGGCTTCATACACCGAGCTGGTGGGTTCGAACCAGCCTGGGCCTGCTAAACAACAATGACAACTGCAACAACAACTAATAGCCGGGCACTGTGGTGGCTGCCTGTAGTCTCAGCTACATGAGAGGCTGAGGCAAGAGAATTGCTTAAGCCTAAGAGTTTGAGGTTGCTGTGAGCTGTAACGCAAAGGCACTCTACCAAGGGCGACATAGACTCTGTCTCAAAAAAAAAAAAGGATTATTATCTAGCAATTCCAAACAGAAGAAAACACACGTGACACATCTGTGTCATGAACGTCGAATGTGATGGCTCCACTTTTACAAAACCTGATGACACAATGAACTACAAAAGGGACAAATGCAGGGAGCAAAGGCTGGTGTTGGACATCTCCAGGCTCCTCACATTTATTTCCTGCGGGATCTACTCACCGCATCTTTGCTATCGCCTCACGCCTATCTGCTCAAGTGCAGGAACCCAGCGCAGACGAAATACTGGCCAGGAGAGCGATCTGATCAAGGGTCCCTAATGTGGGGGGCGGAAGGGGAGGGCCGGCGGGTGGTGGTGGTGGTGGTGGTGGTGTAGGGTCCTCTGACGCGAGGCCAGGCCTGAGCGGCTTAAGCTCTCCAGCTTTGGTCGACAGCTAAGGGTTGCAGGAGGAGGGATTGTGATGGAAGTCGCGGACAAACGGATGACTCCCGCCTCGCATTCCTGTTCTCCAAGGCCTGAACCCGGCGGCCTCCGCAGCCGCGAAATGAAGATCTGAAACAGGCACAGAGCCTTGGCAGTTCCCTACCCTGACCCTCTGAGGGCACCCGTTTTACAAGGCCGGGGCCGAGGCCTGCGCCTTCTGCCCTCGGCCTCCAGGGCCCGGGCCCTGGCGGCATCACTCACAAGGACAGCGCGAAGCTCTCTTCTTCGAAGGCATCCATCGTCGCGCCTGCCGCACCCACCCGTGTGGGCTAGGCGGCCAGGTGGGCTCCTAGCCAGCCCAAGGCCCGGGGCCCGGCCCAGCCTCCAGTCTGCTCCGCAAGGTCCCCGCCCGCATCGAGGGCACTGCAGTCGGCCGGCTGGGAGAGACCCCACCGCTCCGGCCACGGGCCGCTCACTGTCTAGCCGGGTCAGAGCCTGCACGCGAGGCTCGACCTCAGGCTGCCCGGCTGCGGCCACGCGCCGGCCGGGCCTCTACGCCCCGCCAGGCCGCTCTGCGCGCGCCGCTACTGCCGCCGCCGCAGTCCTAGTTCCAGGCGTTAGTTACCGACCAAGACGCGCCGCGCCCCGCCGCGCCCCGCCTCCCATCACCATGGCCACCACAACCCCTTCCGCCGCCTCGCGTACTGCCGGCAGCCAATCCTAGGCGCGCGTTCCCCGACGCAGGGGCGGGTCAAAATAGGGAGAGGAAGTCGGGAAGCGAGAGAAAGTCCTTTGGGAAGCAGGCCCTTGCCACGCAGTCGGTGGCTCGCTGACGTGTTCACTCGATGTGTAGCGACCAAATATCGCGTCCCCCCTCCTTTTATGAATGGAGAAATAGAAGCCAAGAGCCTCAGTTTCCTCACTTAGCAACTTTAGAATAAATTGCATCTCGCAGGGTGTTTGTAAAGATTAAGTAGCATAAAGCGTGTTTTAAGAGAGCTGTGAATTGCGAAGTAGGCTGAGAGCCAATCTCTTTATCTGTTGACCCAGATAATGCAGACGTCTGATTTGCAAGACAGTAGTTACATGGAAGGAAAGCTCCACAGGAAGAAGTGGATATCTTGTAATTTACCTTATGATCTTAACACCATAAAGATTATTCCTTGGCCAGTTATCCAAGGAGAAAGTTGACACAATCATTTTGGGCAACACAATCAGAAATCAGATAACCGCTCAAGGAAATGTCCACTCCAAAGCTGCCAAATTTTGAAAAAGGATTCTCTAGAGCTGATTTCCTTAGGACCACTAAGCTTTCTGTCTCTGTTTGCATGCTACCTTTTGGCCAAATGTGTAGTATAGGACTAGAGGGGTTTAAAGTGAACTGAACCCAGCATGGAGGTGGGTAGATTGCTTGAGCTCACGAGTTGGAGACCAGCTTGAGCAAGAGCCAGACCCTGGTGCTTGTAGTCCTAGCTACAGGAGAGGCGGAGGCAAAATCGCTTGAGCCCAAGAGTTTGAGGTTGCTGTGAGCTATGATGCCATAGCTCTCTACCCAGGATAACGAAATGAGATTCTAATTCTAATTAATTAATTAATTAGTATGAACTGAAGGTCAGATAACTAACCTGAGTAGATTAGCAGATATCTCTGAGTGGACATAGGGTATCTGTGGGAATCTGGAACTAAAGATAGTTACAAAGATATATTTGTATCCTGAATGACATCAGTTCTGAATTAGCTCTGTTTAGGACCAGGTGGAAGACGAGCATTTACAATGAATGGTTTGCTGAATTTCTGGACTGAGTTCTGTTTGTTAAGCACTGCTCACAAAGTTCACAGCAAACTCATCAGATTTCTCCATGACCTACTTTATATGCCACACATATTTCTGGACTAAATGAATTTCCCATCTTTTATAAACCATTTATGAGGTCACAGTGGGAGAGGAACAAACAGATTTCATCTGTTCTGGTTATCTGTTGTTCATACAAATGACATGGAAATTTTGGGGCTTGAAACAATTATTTTGCTCACTAATCTGCAACTTGGGCATGGTTTGGCAGGGACAGCTAGTCTCTGTTCCACTTGGCATGAGTTGGGGCAGCTGGAATGGAGCTAGAGAAAATTCTTACAAGGAGCTCACTCACGTGGCTAGCAAATTAGCGTTGGCTCCTGGCTCAGAGCTCAGATGTGGATGTTGGCCCGAGAACTAGGGGTCTCAGTTCCTCACCACATAGGTCTTCCCAGGGATTCTTGGCTTTTCTCACACCATGGTGACTGGGTCTAAGAGCAAGGATTTCAAGAGACAGGAAGTGGAAGCTGGCAATCACATAAAGGCCTGGTACTGGAAAATGGCACAGTATAGCTTCCTCTGTTCTATTGATCAAGCAGACACAGAGACACTCAGATTTAGGGAGATGAGACATAAACCTCATTTTTTTCTCTTTTGAGACAGAGTCTCAAGCTGTCACCCTGGCTAGTGTGCTGTGGTGTC